ATCAGCCAAGGGGAATGTTCCTCATCAACCAACATCGATGAAATCAGTCAAGGGGAATGTTCCTCATCAACCAACATCGATGAAAAGATTGAAGAGTTGAAGCAAATGCTTGAGGAAGGAAAAGAATTCACTAATGTTAGTGTGAGTTTGGTCATAGATGATCACTCAAAAAAAGGAGTTCCAATGCCTGCTGAAAAATGCATTGCACGGGAGGAGGTACAAGAAGAAATTTTGCAACTATTAAGGGGAGACAAGGTTACAAGAATTGCAGTTTGTGGAATGGGTGGTGTGGGCAAGACAACAATCATGAAGCAAGTCCACAACCAACTATTAAAAGATCCCACAATTAAGAAAGTTATTTGGGTAAAGGTATCCAGAGACTTTGATATTGTTCTCCAACAAAAAAAGCAGTTTGATATTCTCAAGTTTCAGAAGAACATTGCAAGAAAATTGAGATTAGGCCTGAATGATGATGAAGATGCAACCGAGCTTGCAGGACGGATATCACAAAGCTTGCGACAGGGCCGTTGTGTTTTAATTCTGGATGATGTGTGGGAGCCTTTTTCTGTAGAAGCTGTTGGAATCCTTGATCCTAATGGAAATGATGCTTGCAAGATGGTGCTCACAACACGGTCACAAGAGGTTGCTGGTAGAATGCAGTGTAAGATGATCCTTGTGGAGCCTCTTCCAAATGATAAAGCATTAGCATTATTCTTGGACAAAGTTGGAAGTGAGGTGGTGTCCTATACCAGATACAAAAGTGATATAGAACCTTTTTTGAATCAGATTTTGAAGAAATGTAATGGTCTACCCCTTGCTATTGTGGTGGTGGCAACGACCATGAGAGGAAATTTCAATTGTTACTCATGGGAGACTGCAGCTACAGAATTTAGCAAATATGAAGAAATTGGTGATTGTTTGAAATTCAGTTTTAACCACTTAGATGGAAAACACCAGAAGTGTTTCTTATACTGTGCATTCTATCCTGAGGATGATGAAATCGGAAAAGAGGAGTTGATTGAGTTTTGGATTGAGGAGGGATTTATTGAAGATGAAAGTAGGTCTCGGCACTCAATGATTTGTGAGGCCCATTCTATTATTCAGAAGTTGATAGACAATTGCATGCTGGAATCGGTTAAAAAAGAAGACACAGGATCTGTGACTTCATCGCATCAATTTGTTGTAGTCAAAAACAACGAAGATGGGGTGAGTATGCATGATCTTCTCCGAGATATGGCATTGAAGATTATTCATCCTCAATTCATGGTGAAAGCAGGCATGGCCTTGGAAGAGCTACCAGAGGAGGTTGAAGGGAGAAAAAATCTTTTGAAGGTGTCTCTAATGAAGAATCAAATAAGAAAATTTCCTTCGAGTATGTTGTCTCCCAAGTGTCCAATGCTCACAACCTTCTTGTTGTCCAAAAACAATATTACAACAATTCCAGAAGCTTTCTTTGATCATATGCCTGGGCTGAAGATCCTTGATCTTTCTGGCAATCACTACCTATTTAGGCTGCCGAGTTCTGTTTTTTCCAAATTAGAGAATCTTACCACACTACTGCTGGAGGAATGTTATTCCTTAAAAGAGGTACCATCTTTATCCAACCTTGGAGGCTTAAAAAAGTTAAACCTTTATGGGACAGCAATTAAAGAACTACCCCAAGGTCTCAACATGTTAACCAATCTAAAATGGCTTCGGCTTGGTAGAACGTTATCTGATATACCTGACGGATTGCTAGGAAATCTCTCCAGCCTTCAGTGTTTAAGAGTAGCAGAACGGACTATAGCATCGAGATGGGAGGAGATTGGAAGATGGAAGGATATACCATTGAAATGGGAGGAGATTGGAAGATTGAAGAAGTTGGAATCTTTTGAAGGCCAGTTGTCTACGCTGGATGATATGAGCGCCTTTGTTAAGTCTGAAAGAAAGTTTTTAAATCAATACAGAATTTTTGTTGGAAGCAGCAATCCACGTGGGTATGACCATTATAGCGAAAGCGAAAACTTTTCAAATGTTATGAAATCAATTGTATGCTGTCATAATGATATATGTGGGGAGCCCAACTGGTTACCATCTGATGCACAAAGCTTTTACATCTGGGACTGCAAGGATGTGAGAAGCTTGGACGATATTTCTGGCTTTCAAGAAGTAACCGACTTGCGGCACTGCATCGTTGGTGAATGTGATGGCCTGGAGTTTGTTGTTTCCTCACGCTACTTAAAGTTGCTCCAAAACCTTGAGTTGCTATGCCTTTTTCGTCTGAAAAAATTGAATGCAGTGGTTGGGGCAGTAGAAGCAGTTGTCAAGTCAGCACTGTTGCCAGCTGGCACTTTATCTTCTCTTCAACAAATTGAAGTTGGGGGATGTGGAAAAATAAAGAAGTTATTGCCGCTTAGGTTGTTGCGGTATCTCCAGAATCTAAAGATCATTCATGTTATAAATTGTGATCAAATGGAGGAGATAATATGGTCCGAATATGAAGAAGAAGGAGAAAAAGCCCTAGAAAAACTCACTCTACCAAAGTTGGAAAGGGTGATATTGATGACTTTGCCCGCATTGAAGAGCATCTACAGTGGCTCTACTATTGTCTTGATTTGTGATTCCCTCAAATGGATTAAAATTCACGGGTGCCAAGAAATAAAGAGTGATTTTTGGACGGGTTATAACCCACTTCCAACCCCTGAGCATTTGGACTTTTATGGGTTGAATCTGAAATCCGTGTTTGATGAAGAAGTTCTTGGTTTATCGGCCCGTCCCACCAACTTTTTCTCTCTTAAAAGAATTGAAGTGTGGTCTTGTAATTGCACTAAACCAGAAGTCCTTCTTCAGTCCGCACTTGCACTTCGGAATGACCTGCAAAGCCCCGAGGTGGAACTCGGGGTAGACACTCCGATGCTTAAGTCAGCAATAATCGGGGCTACCTTTAGGGCGGAGATAA